TTGGTTATTATTATTATTATTATTATTATTATTATTGGAATATGTTTTCTCAGCTAATGAAAGGAAATATTCATTAAATGCACTTAAATGAGGAAGATAAGAAAGCAGAGGCATGTGCAAAGTTCAAATTTTCAGAAGTGAAATAAAACTTGGACTCCACCATCAGTTTTGTGGAGTCTAACCCACAATACAACAAATATTACCTAATGCTGAGGGAAATGAGGTAAGATGTAGTAAAAGAACAGTAAAAAGGAGGAAAATAAACCAAAATAAGTTCATTTTTTAATCATGATCTCAATATTACTAAGTAATTTATTTTATGATATGCAATCTAAGTTTCAAAATAAAGTTGTATTGCCCATAGAAACTTGAAGTCCATTTTATAACTTTCCTGAATATAATTCTGTATTTCAGCATCCTGTTGCAATTGTTTAACATAATGTCCATGTATTTATTGTCTGTCAATATTACAACACTTGTTTATTCACTACTTAATTTTAATGTTAGTGCGCCAGTAAAGCACTACCATAGATAACACCACATGCTGTGGAGGAAACATGCAAACCAGGGGCATATGGCAGTCATAACTGAAAAGTAGGGTACAACTGTGAGGAGTAAGTTGCTGAAACAAAACACCCTGGACTGACATACATTTATGAACAATGGAAGACTCCCCGTGTGAGGTGAAATAAAATGCACCCCTCCCCCAAGATGATTCTTCAATCGCACGAGGCAAATATCACGGTCAGTGGCGTTTCTCGGGGAGAGGCCAAGTTCATCTGGTGCCCAATTAAGTCGACTAGAGGTGAAACACTCAAAACACTGGCCAACCAAAGGGAAACAAAGATGTCGTGTGTTCACTAAATAAGAAAAGCAGGAGCATCCTTTTCTATTGAAAAAGTGTGATGGGCTGTGTGTCGTGGATTGCTTCGAGAAGTGGCACACACGCCGCATCAGAGTGTGAGGTATCGTAAACTGTGAAGTGACGCAGTTCAAACCCGTGTACAGTCTCAACAAAGTATTCTTATATATAGTGTGATTATATTTACAAAACCACTATGTCTCAAGGTTGATGAAAAAACTACTGGTAAGTCCTTTGGAATTTCATAACATCCATCATAAAGATTATATTTTGCAATTCATGACAAAATAATCGCAGTTAATTTTCATGTGTAAAAATTGCTCTATTGTGTATATGTTGAAAATTTTACTGTCTTTCAGGTTGCTTTTAGTTTGTATTTCTATGTTGCATAGAACGGAAAATACGTAGTTCTTTCTGAAAGTCTGCAATGGGACATTTAAATTCTGGCAGCAAAGGGCTGCTGACAATTTAAAAGTCCGTATGTTAAATGTTAATGTTACAGACGAAGTTTCACACCCATACAGAACCACAGGCAAAATTATACTTTTGTATATTCTAATTTTTGTTTTTAGAAAGCAGACGAGAAGACCAAAGGTTCTGGTTTGAATAGTATCAAGCATTACTTTAATTCAATCTCCTCTTAATTTCCTACTGAATCAGGGTTTGATTTGTAATCATCATTCCAAAATATGTGACCCCTGCCACATTTTCAAAACATCTGTTAGCTATCTTCATGCAATGATTTTGGTGAAGAGACAGCACTATATATGAGGGGCAGTACGAGTAAAATGACAACGGGTCAGAAGCCAAAACATATTAAAGAACAATATTATATTTAAGCATCCTGTTGCACTCCATACGATAAACAATATAATGATACAAATTCCGTCCCAAGTGCAAACAATATATTATGTGTCCTTGATCTTGCTCCTCTACACTACATGTTTCGGCCTCAGACGGCCATCATCAGGTGTATAACACTCACGTTGCTGTCACACTGCACCCAGCCCAAAATTTAACATTTAAAATACTTTCCCTGTTATTATCAACATCTACTTCGTTGATATCTGTCTGGTTTGTAGATTATTTTACACGTTAATTTTGACGCTCCTGTAGTAGCACTATAAAATCTTTAGTTCTAATTTTAAAATCTTTTAAAATTTTTCTCTAAATTTTAAATTTAGAATTGTTAGGGTTACTCGCCCTATGTCTAAAGTGCTGCAGCTACTACGTAGTAGTAAAGAATAAAAGCGGCATGCACACAGGAAGACTACACAGATAACACCTATACAGTGTGGAAACAAGAAACAGCCGCTGCAGGGGATGTTGATGCACTTCCAAACCAAATCTCTGAAGTGTATTCCTCACAGAATTGGCAGTGTGGGGGCACGCATTATCATGGAGGAGGATAATGCCATTCGATAGCATTACAGGACATTTTGACTTTAGGGCATGTCTCAGTTTCTGCAAAGTCTTCATAGCACTGTGCACTGATTGAGGGCCCATGCTAGAGAAATTAAATAAGCAGAGGGCCCCTGCAGTCGAAGAAGGTCATCACCACTTTACCGGAACTTGTGTGTACGGCTCTGGATTTCTTCGGTGGGGGGTAATTCACGTGTTTCCACTGTTGGCTTATCGTTTGCTCTCGGGTTCAAAATGGTGGCACCAAGTTTTGTCCCCAGTGGCAATACAGTACAGAAAAGCATACTCTTCCTCATGGTATCATTGCAAGGGACCCAGTGATACAGCCATTCTCTGAGTCTTCTGTTCCTCCATGAGTTGATGTGGAACCCACTGCACGCAGATTTTGCGGTATAGCAGGTGTTTTGCCACAATGGCGTGTATGGAACCATGACTTATTCCCATCAAAAGACTAATTTCTTCAACAGTGATCTGTCAGTTTGCCCGGATATGACCATCCAACAAAGCAATAACATCAGGAGTGATGACACGATGAGCCTGTCCTGGACGAGCATCATCTTGCAGTGACAAACATTCCTCTTGGAATCTCTTATGTCACACCAGCACATGTAAACGTGACATGCTGTGTTCACCATAAATAACACATGCAATGATGAATTTCTTGTCCTCCTCTTCCTTCAGCAGCCAAAAAGCGCACTACACTTCGCTGTCCTTCTTTACCCGCTTCCATGACTGATGTTCGACAACAACACATAGCGCTAACCTTACTTCCGGCACAATACACAAACGACTAGTGTGCAAGAGCACATTGTCACTGTGCTTTCCCGAGTCCCCACCAGATGTTCGTACCGTAAGCAAATTCCAGTATTACCAAATTGAGTGCCATGTGAGTTACGCGTCATGACCCATTTTCATTTGTACGCCCCTTATACTTAGTTTTATCTGTCAGTTCCCTTTGTTTTCTTGGACCTTCTTAATGGCACGCTCTAAAGCAAAGTTGAAAAGCAGTGGCGTTATAGCATTATCTTGTTTTAGATCACTTTGGATATGAAACGTGTCACACAAATGTGTAGTTTTCATTTGAACACAATTTAATCAACCTAACTAGTTTCATGGGTACCCCAACTCTGTGAGAATACTGAATAAATGTTGGTTTGTGTCTTATCGAAGATCTCCGAAAGTTCTTCACCGATTGCTTTGAAATTTTGACACAACGTTGCATTCGAAAACGTGAGTGCTTTCATATACCTATTATATAGATGTCACACCCGTGATAGGTAAAAACAGGTAAAAGTATAAATTGTATTCAATATAATATACTGTAACGTGTTATACGTCGTCCAGCGAATACCAACAAATCACTGCCTAGGAATAACCATGGCCAACGAACTCTTGAAATACCGGGTCGTTGCCTAGGAATAACCGTGGCAACGAACTGTTGAAACAGCGGATCACTGCCTAGGAATAACCGTGGCAATGAGCTGTTGTGGCAACGAAATTTTCGTTTTGATTTTATTATTTCGTGTTACATTGCATTGGAATTGGGCTGAGTTGTTAACCGTAGCATTCATTTCGTGAGTATAGTTTATTTTTTGTTGTTTTTCATTTCGTTTTCTTAACTGTTTCCCTTATTTTCCAGTGCAATTGGCAGAGGGATTGGGCTGTGTCGATTGATATGCGTTTGAATTGAAATATTTCATCAGTATTTTTTTTTTGTTTCTTCTTTGTTTTCCAGTTCGTGTTCTTTCCTTTTTTTAATGTTTTGCAATTTCATGTTTCTTTCTTATAACTTTCTTTCTTCTTCTTCGGTGCAATCGTTCTGCTTTAGTTCATCCAAATAATGCCTCACAGAAGATCAAACTTAGGTCGTCGTACTCGTGGAGCGAAAGCAATGCATCGAGTAATTTCAAATCAAACTGGGGAAGAACGGGCAGACTCCACAGCAAGACGTGCCTGGGCACAGCTAGTACTGAATAAATTCAATTTAAACTTCCTAACTACAATCTTTCTTTGTCAACACAAGAGAATACACTGACTTCAACTAATTTCCAAGAAGTATGTACTTGGTGGAAAACAGGAAGTATGAATTTCACACAACATACTGCATGAGATACACCATTAACTTTTATTGTCCATGTCACATTACTAGTGGTGCACTCAAGTCCTGCATGCCTACTGCACAGTTAAGCACCAGCATCACCGAGACAGGATATCGCTACCAGTGCCACAGTGGCAGATTTAAATCCCCCATTCTTGGATGACAAAGGATAAAGGTATTGAAAATAAGATACATAATGCTCATGCCATAGACCAACGAGATACAGTGCAGATTAAAACAGAATGCAACAATACTGGAAATTCAGTGAACAAAAGACTTCTCATGTAACTCACACTACAGGTCCCATATGCCAAACCTTATCAAAGTTACCACTTGAGAATGAACATAATTCTGTCCTACTACCACTCCCACCCCATAAGGCCCTCGATCTTGAAGATTACTATCTTCTGGGAAGTGGTGCTATGTAATCTGGTAGCGTTAATTACCAACTTGTCAAAGGAACCTGCTGCTAACTATCAAACTACATGACCCCACACAGCAAAAACAGGAACTATGAAACCCTCAAATCTTGCATCCTTCAATACTGTCAAGAAGGCAGATGTTTGAAAGTTCAAAGGTCTTAAACGGTAATGTTCAAGTCTACTGACCTTCAGATGTTTGTGTTTGCGGATCCTCAGAAGAGTCTTCACCTTCCGCTTCAATTCCAGTGTACGTACCACATGCTTGTACTTCCATCCCACCTCATGTGACAGACGTCCCAAATGACAGTACTACAACAAATACATTTCAGATGACCCACTTTCTCTGTTAACAAACAACCAAGTACTTATAAATATTTCATACACATATCTTGTCAAACTGGTTATGCATTAAAATAGTTCAAAGTGAACACAATGTGAGTTAAAATATGTTATAGATTTTAGCCACTAATCAGAATGGCACTGTTCTTGATTTTGTAGAATCCATCCTAAATGTGTCAAAAATATCTGTAAGCAACTGAAACAGCACATCATTATCACAAATACAAGTAAATATACTCTACTTTCAACATTAACCCTCTGTTGATATACAAGGTCTAACAATAAAGTCACGGTAGAAGTGCTATATACCTCACTGCCATATATCACTGTGGTCAACTTCAAAGTATATTCCCCTTGGGAAGCTATGCACTGAAGACAGCACCCAGTCCACCCTTCAAAACAATTTTGGAACTGGTTTTGTGGAATGTCCTTCATACCAGCCATCTGTATTACTCCTGATATCATCACTGTCATCAAAATACCTTCCTTTACCTTCAGGAACAGAAAACACTCATTGGGGCCTAGATCCAGTGAAGAGAGAGGGGTGTTCCAGCACAGTTATTTGTTTACTAGCTAAAAACTCCCTCACAGACAGTGCACTTTGGCAAGCTCCTTTGAGACCATTTTTACACACACCTTCCTCTTGTCTTGATCTTCAGTTAAGATTTTCCTGTTTCTCTGTCAATGTTCTCTTGCTCTGCTGTGATCCTGACAGTGAACAAACGATTTTCATGCACAATTTGACAAATTTTGCAAAGTTTTCTTTAGTTATGCTTATTGCTGGCTGTCCTGATCTCTCGTCTGTGACACATTCCCTTCCTTCAGAAAAACGTGTCACCCATTTCCAAACTGCTGTTTCCTTCATAGCATTATCCCTGTAAACTTTCATTTACATCTCTCTGATTTTGCTTCCACTCTTGGAAAAGATTAACAAAATATTTGATGTTCGTTCACTGCTATAATTCAAGCTCAGACATTCTCACGATTACACACCAAGACACTCAAGACAATATACGCACCACTCAGAAAAAGACTGCCACAGATCAACATCATCACAGCTGTGAAACACTGTTATGCCGTCACCAAACCATGCTGAGGTTTCTGTCCACTGCTACCACACCAAGCACACTACAGCAAGTTGAATTTTATTGTCAGGCATACTAAGCAACCCAATGCTCCTAGTTCATTACAGGGGATTATAGGAACTGTTGAAAAAAACTTCCCACTTCAGTGATGCAAGTGTTTGCTCTTTTTCATGAATCCAATATGGCACAACGAAGAACTGAAATATATGCCTCAAATTAATTCTAATTCATATAATTATTGATGGATACTTCTACACGTTTTTTTAATTCGCTTAGTGGGGGGTGGAGTCTAACTGGGTCCACTCGGCACAGCGGCCACTGATTGGCCAATTGCAGCCTGCCCTGGGTGATTATGATGGAGAATTTGGTGGAATGAAAATTGGCAGGAGAAACTGAAGTACTCAAAGAAAACCCGCCCCACCACCACTTTGTCCACCACAAATCCCACTTGACAAGACTCGGGATCGAACACGGGCCGCGACGGCAGGAAACCAGCAGCTAACCGCTTGAGCTATGGCATGGCCTCTTCTACCTCTTCTATACATTGCTCTTAACAAGTCAACATAGGATGTTGGTTGACAATATATCTGGAGACCTGGGAGGCCATACATTTTGAAAAATTATGTGATTCCTAAAGAATTCTTTTAACATTTACATTGCTGCTGCTCCATCCAACAAGCCGACTCATTCAGAAAATTCCAGTTGAGAAAAGTTTCCAATCAATCACCAGTAACAACTGTCATTTTACAGTTTCACTAAAGAAAAGGGTGACAATAACAATTACATTAAACTTCACACCATACTCCCTATTCTTACTGAATGTAGCATTAGATTATGGAAAACGGGTATTTCCAACATTCTACAATCTAGCTACCTAACTCCATGCAGCTGAGCCCTTCTTGAGAAGCCATCAATTGTGCAGCTACTCAAAAACATCATCCCAATATTTTATGAAACATAAAGATTCGTTACAATGTTCACAAGAGTCTTCAATTGGTCTCTATCCTGAGCCTGATCAATTCAATCCATACCTCCCCATCCTATCTAAGATCCATTTCAATAGAGGATCATCAAAAAAGAATACCAGGATTATAAAAATCTAACATTCAAAAACTGCTAAACATACCAAAATGATTCAAGTTTTAAAATATGGCAAAATATAAATTTTGGATATGTTCAGTTGATGGTGGGTAGAGACGTTGAGGTGCTTCTGTCGGTTGACCAATCGATACAACTTGCATGCAAGGTCAGCCGTGGTTTCACACGAGGCGACTTTTCATGACTGGGTGTGTTAACCGGCATACTTGCCCAACTGGGGGATCAGAACAACCAAATGAAATTCATGAGTACGTTCGTGGTTCTGCAAAAGTGAATGTTTGGTGTGGGCTGCTTTGTTACCGTGTTGTAAGCCCTTTCTTCTTCTCGGAGAGCACGATTAGTGGAGGCACTTACCAGCATATGCTTGAAAATTATTTTTTCCCACAAACTGAAAACTTGAGAGAGACTGGGAATATGGCCACTTTCATACAGGATGGAGCACCTCATTTTTGCCAGTCTGTGGCAAAGCCGTGAATGAAAAGTTCCCAAATGCCCGGAATGGGAAGGGATGTCCAATCTTCTGGCCTCCCAGAAGTCCAGATCTTACCCCAATGGACATTTTTTGTGGGGATAAGTCAAGAATGGAACAATATAAAAGAATGCATGTTAGATACTATCAGTGATTTGGTTGAAGTTGAGAAGATAGCAAGAAAACCATGGGTTACACAGGAGATGATAAGTAAAATGGAGGAGCGAAGGAAATGGAAGAATGTCAACAATGAAGAAGGCAGGAGGAAATACAGGAGACTGAGGAATGAATTGAAAAGAGCCACAGACAGGGCCAAAAAGGAATATCTTGAGAAGATATGTAATGAGATTATAGAATTTCAAAGAACAGGACGTTATGATTTGATGTACATGAAAACAAAAGAACTAGGATGGAAACAGAACCATGGGATTCAAAATACTGGCATCGAAGACTCCCAGAGGAATAGAATAGTAGATTAGAGGCAAGTGCTGAAAATTTGGGAAAATTACATTACAGAACTATATGATCGACCTAATCGGCCAGAAACCTTGGAAGTTGAACCGGAAGAAGAAATAGATACAGATGAGAAAGGACCATATATTTTACAAAGTTAGGTAGAAAAAGCTATCAAGGAAATGAGGAAGGGAAAGGCTACAAGAAATGATGATGTACCTGGAGATGTGCTTAAGTTGCTGGGAGAAGGTGGTTTGAAAACACTGACAAAACTAATGAACACCATATATGAAACTGGGGAGTGGCCCAAGGACTTTACAGAAGCGACACTGAT